TTCGGTCGTGTCGAGTGGGTGCTGCTTTTAAGCTAGTGCCGCGTTCTACAGGACGTTAAGTGAATAAAGTTAAAATCATTCACAATTACAGTAAAACGCACGCCAATAAAAACTCACTTACACGTCGTCGTTTCGAATCTGATGATCGAAAAACGCGAAGTGAAAATGTGTCTCGGTGTCATCGTTCTGTAGCATCGGGCGGGCGTTGCGTGTATTTAAGCTCCCGCGGCATGACGTCTCAATCCGGGTTACGGGTAGTGGAATTTCCGCTTACGTAAGTTCCGGTAACATGTAATATCGTAGTCAAAATGTTAATGCACAGGCTTTTGTTCCGGGTGAAGGATATTCCTTTTCATAGAATTCCGGGGAGAGGAATATTTACTGTATTCGTTTTCATTATCATGAGTTCAATCTCAATCCAAATAATTGTGATTATTTTTTTCCATAACCGTCCAGACCTGACTGACGACCATTAAATTGTATTCTTCAAATAACGGCGATAAACATTCAATTGATCCAATAATTGTTTTCCAGAGGAAAAACAACAGAAAATGGGAAAACCAACAGAACAAAACAAATAATAATAATATTAATCTCTGGTTCCAAACTGTGTTGGTCAAATGATTGTCAAAGGAAAATAAGAACACTCTTCATAATATTTTCGTTTTCAACTGTAGTTTGTATCTGAACAGAGGGTGGCACCCACATAACCATGAAGCAGAAATCTGAAGTTGTGTCATATGGTGCTGTGCTACACACACACACACACACACTATTTTGAGCCATAGAATGCTCCTGAATTTTGAGAACTGATAGGTTTTAAAATTCAACTATGTTGTTTTCTTTGCGGAATCAATTTAGCTTTGCCAAGGGGGTAAATTTATTTCATCACAAATGCGAAAAAGCAGAGGTATGTTCAGATGAAAATGCAAAATGGGAGAAGCAGGTAGAATAAATCTGATAATGATCGTTTAACAGAAAACATGAATTTTTCACATGTAAATACTACTTCCATTCGCAGTTTTACATTTGAGTTCATATCATGATTTGGACTATTACTGTCAAGGGTTTAAATTTAGCCCAAGATAGGACTTCGCTGAGCCCTCTGTATCAATTTGAAGCCGTTAGACTCGGACAATAATGGAAAAACAATTTACATACGCTCCTGGATTTTTGTAAAATGAACATGTACATTAGTGCAAATGGAAAAAAAACCTTAGACAAAAAAAAAGAAATTGCAAAAAATTGTGAATCAAATGAAGTCACGCACAATATCTGCCAGAAAAATGGCATTATCTTTTCCTGAAATGGTTCAGGCCTCAGGACGCTCATGACGTTTCAGAATACAGTGCAAGCCAGACCCAACAACAACAGACACAAATCTTCCCTCGTGCAGCAAAAGTAACGGTTGATGATGAGATTGTTGGAAAATCTGCATCCGTTGTCTATCACAATGGTCTAATGCAAAATGTCCGGTAAACGTTTGTCCATCTGAAGGCCCAAAATCGGGACAGAACGCACCTGGACCACCTTGAACTGCTTCTGTAAATCATTGGCTACATCAGAATTAGTCATGAAACAACCTATTGTGTGATGTGATCTCCATTTTTTTTTCTTGTTTCAGATGTGTCCTTGAGCCCATTTTGTTTGGAAATAGGCCTCCCAGCCTATGATGAAATGTGGAATGCTGGCAGAGGACGACTTCTTGGGAACCAATATCGTACCGTCTGGAAGCAAGTTATACAAAGATCTGTCAACTTTTCAAAATTATAGAAATGGGCAATCAACATATTCCAGAATATAGAACAAATACTGTGTGGAGTTCTTGAATGATAGCAGAGATGCAATCATCACCGAGCTTCAGCCCAATGGACTTTGGTGAGTTTGGCACTCGAATTAACACTTATCAAATGTTAGTCATTTGTAGGGTTGAATTTATTTATACTGTCATAATAATAAAATAAATCTGCATTGATTTTTTTATTTCATTGACCTGTGTTTTTCATTTTCTTTATTTGAAGGAGATGATCTGATGGACAGTCCTGGATTCTGTGCTCTGTGCTGTACCTACGCTGTCATGGAAAATAACTTGCCCAAAAATATTAGATATGTTCAACATGGACAATTCTAAGACATCCTGAAATTATGTTATAATGCTGAAATATTTGTATGCATTCTGATTTCTAAGGACAGTTTTGTCAAAATTAGATTTTGGGTTGTTTGTGAATTTAAATGATTATCTACACTAAATGTGAGCTCCTTGTTGAAGGACAGCCACAAGATTGGACTGACACATGAGACTAAACCACTCATAAATCCTGCAAATAAAATGTTTAATTAAATACGTTAAATTTGTTTCATATGTCTTCTTTCAAAAATATACAATCTATGAACAAGTGTTGTAGGGCACTGGACAGATGTAAAAAAATGTCACTCTTTGATTATTTCTGAGTTGTAACGGGAAATGAGAAGGCACTGCTCATTTACTTTACAATTGAACAGTAATGACATTTTAAAAGTAACATGCAAGCACTCTGCATTGTCAACTGCGCAGTCAATCAAAAAACCTTGAGTTGTGTATGACAAATTTTGTACTCGGCTGCGATGTCTTTTTCGGACTTGAGCAAAAAATATTGCAGCACGGCTGACATCAGTCTTGCTTCTTGCTACTTCGTGAAGAAATGGTTCAGATGTAAATCTCTCCCATCCAAATAGTTCTGAGTTTGCTATGCTCCAGCTCCCTTCCCGCCAATTCCGACTTTTATTGTAACATACAAAGAAAACACTGCCCCCGACATTTGCATACCGCACCCCCGGTCCGGCCCCTCGGTAGTGATTGGTTACCCGAGTTTAAGCTTTGAACCACCGGTACATTGGCGCCTTTCTGTCTGGTCTACACTGTATCAACATGTTGCAGACTTTGCGGACGACAAATGTCGCCTGGGCGCGACGGGTGTTCTCAACTCGTCTTTTGTTGTTCAACCGCTGTTCCCAAATTATTCATTCCCCTTTTGTGACCGAGTTTCGCCCTCTCCCCTGTGATCGCCCACCTGCATTGACGTGCTAATTGTAGACTTCAACAGCCCTCCGGCCAGGTGGCCGGCACCTTTGTGCACAGGCATTTGGGGGTGCCGGATACACACCCAAACGTTTAGATGTGCCCAAATTGAATGAAACTTTAAACATGATACAATTTTGCTCATAGATTCCTCTAACATTTAGTCTCTGTCTCTTGAAAAAGCAAAATGACTGAGGTGTCGAAGTGAGGCAAGACCTTACTTCTTTTGACCAGGTTATATAATCCATATACTTTCCAACTGGAAAATATGGTGTGTTTTTTTTTACTCCCCTGGTACTGTTGTTATACATTGTCACTTTTCATATAATCATGTTTACCCCGTGTCATCATGAACCCAATTATATATTGTTTGTATGATGTAGTATTTTTAAAACTGATGTGTCAAGGCTGTCTGTGAAAGATAAGGCAAATTAGTTGATTTTTTAAAATTATTTTAGAGTGGCCACATTACTAGCATAATTCATCCCTCCACTGAGCAGCAACTCTCCCATCTTCAACATTCAAAAGCAAATCATGAGCAATGTGTAGTCAGCGGACAGTACTTCAGGACCTTTATCTCTTTCATTCCACAAGACGTACTTGTACGTCTTTTTAAAATTAGGCCCCGCCTACCAAGGATGTACTTGTACGTCGAAGTATTTTTTTTTTTTTTGCGTCATAGAGAGGAGAAGGGTCTGATGCAATCTGTGAATGAGAATAAACCGTTTGCATTGTAAATCATGTAAAAAAAAAAAAGCGTCCAGTAAGTGGCAGTGGTGCCTCACGTGCTTGAAATGCATTCTTTTACAAAAAGCTCTTTTTCTCAGTTTTTTGCCCAGGAATTGCCATTTTCATGAAACTTAGCCATTTTGTAATGCCGATTGCTGAAGAATGGAAAAAGATAAACAGTTTTTTTTTCTGCTGAAAGAAGAGAGTCCAAACTTTATTTTGGTAGGCTCCGTGTTTATATAGCATGAGAACCAAATATTCTGTGGGCCTTGCAAGATCGTTCAAAATCCAGTAAAACGCTGGGATTGAGGGGGCTGCTCCAGTGAAAATGGCTGGGATTGAATGAGTTAATATATGTTCACAAATCAGACCTTGACACTAAGCAGAAAGGAGAGAAACATTTTGGTTTTTTAAACTGAATTATCTAAGGAACATGTGTGTGCGTGCGTGTTTTTTTTTTTTTTTTTTTTTTTACAGAATAAAAACATGTCTATGGCCGGTTGGCTCTCAAACTTTTAATGTGTCTTAAGCGATCGGTGTCTTAATTTACGGACAATGATTTCTTGTGCGTGTTGTAGGTTGATCACTTGGATCACTCATGCCATGTAACAAGCAGATGCCTGCAATTGAATATTTTCATCGTTTGTAATACAGTGATCCCTCGCTACTTCGTGGTTCACTTATTGTGATTTCAGTACATCACGGATTTTTCAAAAATATTAATTAAAAAAAAAAAGAATTGCGAAAATGCCGCACAAGGTCCGCGAGAGTCACACACTATTATATTACTGTATTTTGTTATTTATACACTAACCTAGCTTATACATCTCATACGTATATATATATATAT